ATGTGTTAATCCACTGATTAGATTACAGCTGTCATATAGAATCGTTCCACCTCTGAACATTCCCACATTAATACAAGAGTTCACATTTAAACCATAACTTGTAACACCTCATTCCAAACCATAACAAGTGTCTAGGAGGTGAGATGGGGCATAAGGGTGGTAAGGAGGTATAGTTTCCTTTAGTTTTGGGTCCTGCCAGAGCCTCAGCTGATGCCTGTAACCAGCAAGGGTATAGTGGGCAATGCCCAGATTAGGAAGGATCAATAGTAAGGGTAAAAAGAATCTGTTTACAGACTTTTTAGATGTGAAAGAGCAGATGCTCACAAAAATGCTTATTTTGGGTGTTTTTAAGCAAGTTTTCAGGCAAGATTTTTAAGTGTAGAAAAATACCACATATGGAAGACATCACCTATGAGGGATGTCTCGCTTTGAACTCTGAGTGCCAATTGTTCGTGGGCAACCTTGGGCTAGCTGGCCCAAATCAGTTCCTTTCTTATTTGAGGTTGAGCCATCTTCTGGGCTAGAGAAGGAACTCTGGTGGTTCTAATCTTGGATTTAAATACCTTAAGGATCACCAACCACAAGAACTCAAAATTCTTTGCGGTTGGTTAATAACATAATAAGCTTCTGACCAGAGATGGTTTAATCATGCAACTAAAGCAGCACAATCTTCGTGGCCCCTCATTGCAGCAGCTGCTTCCTAACACAGGGAGGAGCCCTAACACTGTGTTCACAAGGTGTATGCTTTTTGTAAACTGCAAAAGGAAGCTGTTTTAAATTCTGTCAGCCAAGACGCTTCTTTCTTTCCACTCCAGTCTCCTCTCTGCCATTCTTTCTCTTGCACTGGAGAGGGTCAGATTAGTCAAGCCATTTTTTAAATATATATTTTTAGTTGCAGATAGACACAATACTTTTATTTTATTTATTAATTTTTTATGTGGTGCTGAGGATCAAACCCAGGACCTCACATTTGCTAGGCGAACTCTCTACTGCTGAGCCACAACCCCAGCCCCCAAATCTCTTTATTTTGTTTACTTATTTTAATATGGTGCTGAGGATCAAACCCAATGCCTCACATGTGCAAGGCAAGTGCTCTGCTACTGAGTCACAACCACACCCCATGCAATGTATTCTTGATAGCAATGCTGTCAATTTTTTCCTGCCTTGGAGAAGTTTAATTTCACACTTTAGAGTTCTGTGATTGGTGGGATGGGATGGGGGAAGATGCTGAACACTGCTTTTTTTTTTTTTATCATGCATTACTACCAGCTAGCACATATATTACCTCCTAATGCCAACTCATGTAATCCTCACAAGAATTCTGTTTGTTAGGTTCTATTGTTACTCTCACTTTATAGACAGGCCACGGAGATTCAGAGAATTTAAGAAATTTGCTCAAAGTCACTCACCTAGAGTGTGACAGAGCTATGGGTCAAGGTAGGGTGGATCTGGAATCTGTTCTGACCACCAATTGCAGTGTACTCTCCCAAGTTCACCATGGGACCCAGCTAAGTTGGTGTCCTCTCCAAAATCTTATCTTTCATATATTTAATGAGGTTGTACAATGACATTTCCTTATGTGTCAAAGGTCTTACCTTTATCAAAGGAGCGAAGGGATCGCTGGACTCTGGCAACCATATCTATGTCTCACGTGTCTAGATGAATGTGTTTTTGATGATGATATAGAATCCAAAACTGGGTAAGAAATGGTAAACCAGGACCCCAGGAGGACAGTATCACCTCTAAGTGGCTGAGTAGATCTTCATCCCAGCTCCAGCACCTGGGTTCAAATTCCTGCTGTTTTTTTTTTTTTTGGTAGGTACTGGGAATTGAACCCAGAGGTGCTTAACCACTGAGCAACATCCTCAGCCCATTTTATTTTATGTTTTAAAATTTGAGACAGGGTCTTGCTAAATTTCTTGCTAAGTTGCTGAGGCTGGCCTTGAACTTGTGTTCTTCCTGTCTCAGCATCCTGAGTCACTGGAATTACAGGCATGCTCCACCATGCTCAGCTAAAATTCCAGTTTTATAATCAAATATTATAATTAATATGTTAACATTATAGCTATAAAGGAGACAGGGTTCATGGATGGCCATGGAGCTTAGGGGTGCAAGGAACAGATGACAAGTTGATGATTCTTAGAAAACTAATAGGTAATATTAGAATATATAGGGGGAAAATGCATGTGTGCAGTTGTTTTTTCTTTCTTTTCATTTGTCTGATTCTCAAAGAGAAAGACATGGGCCTGGCAGTAATGGAGAACCTGTAACTGCTGACGGGGACAATGTGGCCCCTACTTGTGGGGAGTGGAACAAGGCTGTAGGTTGACTCCAGCCTCCTTCAGTGTGTGTCCCACTGGGAACTCCAGGTGGGGGATGGGTCAGTCATGAAGCTATCTCCAACTCTGGTGGGGATCCTCTATATGAGTGTGTGTCACAGATGCTTCCTTCCTATAGCTCTCTGCTTAATTAAGTGCTGGAAGCCAGGGTGAGTGCCCTTGCCAGCAAAAAGCAATGTGAGGGCAATGTGCAAGTGCTGGGATGACTGGAGGGAAATTGTGGGACTCTGCCCTGGCTCCACCTCTAATCCAGTTCCTGGCAACTGGGTTCGATCCTCAGTTTAAATAGTAAAGGGTGGCTGACTCTCCCTCTGGAGATGGTCTGCTTTCTCCCTTGAATGCATCTCTGATCTCTGCTTTTCTAAATAAACCTTTGTCTGTGTCTTCCAAAAAAAAAAAAATAGGGAAAGGAAGCCAGGAAGAGGATGCCATAAGATGGTTTGTGTGTACTGCAGTGGTACATAGTGGGGACACTGAGTTTGAGAGGGTTTGAAGAATAGGGTGATAGCAGGTGTTGGTAATGTCGTTTTTTTTGAGGTGGAGGGGGGCTTACCTTGCATATCCTTACTTCCCTTCTCACTCTATATCTAGAGGAGCATCTGGAGGTGTATTATTTTTTTCCCATTGCTATAAAAATACTTGAAGCTGGGTTCTTTATAAAGAAAAGTTTATTAAGCTCACAGTTTTGGAGGTTCAAGAGCATGGCACTGCTGAGGACCTTCTGGCTGCATCACAGCATGGTGGATGGCTTCGTGGTGAGGGTATGTGTGAGGGGGAGAGAGCAGTCATGTGGTGTGACAGGAAACCAGAGAGTGGGGAGGGGTCAGTCTTGGTCTTTTATTACAAACCTCTCTAAAGAACTAACCAGGGTGCTGTCAAGAACTAAGTGAATCTCCTCCGAGGTCAGCACCCCCACTGACCTAATGGCCTCCCACGAGGCCTCACCTCTTCTCACTTCTTCTTCATGTTATTGCACCGAGGCCCAGACTTCCAACACATGAACCCTTGTCAGACAAACCACATCTAATCACTGCGGGCAGCCTCTCTGACCAAAGGAAACCAGAGTGAAGCAGCACTGGCCAAATTGGGCATATGTTCTACCTGGCTTTGGCCTTCCGCCTCACCCAGCCAGTCTGTCATTTTTGCCACCCACCCTTCCTCTTGGTGTTGGAACTAAATGGGTAGGTGCTGATGGTTTTGGGCAGCATCTGCTCCCCTCTCCTTTCTTTGTCTTCAAACCTACAGCCAACCTTTAGTAAAAGACTTCTACTTCTTTTGGTCTGGGGATGTAGTTCCTGTAACTTGTATTTTGCTTTTTCTGTAGCAAGGGCTTATAATACAATTGTGTTCTGATTTCTACCAGACCAAATTCTCAATATATAAAGGGGTTAATTTGAAAAGAAATCCCAGATTTTCAAAAGTATTTATTTCGTTCTTCTTCCTCCTCCTCTTCTTATTCTTTTTTTGGTACTGGGAATTGAACTCAGGGGTGCTTAACCACTGAGCCACATCGTTAGCCCTTTTTATTTATTTAAAAAAATTTTTTAGTCGTTGTTGGTACAATATCTCTATTTATTTATTTATTTGGTTGCTGGTGGATCTTTATTTATTTATATGTGGTGCTGAGGATGAAAGGAAAGTGACCACAACACTCAGAGTGACCAAGAGAGCTTTATCGTAGCAGTGCAACAGAGGAGAAAAGAGAGAAAGAGAAGAAGAGAGAGAGAGAGAGAGAGAGAGAGAGAGAGAGAGAGAGAGAGAGAGAGAGAAAAGAGGAAAGAGGAGAGATGAGGAGAGATGGAGAGGGAGAGAGCAAGAGCAAGAGAGAGAGAGCGCACACACGCAAGAGAGACAGAGAGAGCAAGAGAGAAGGCAAGAGAGAGCAAGAGAGAGAGCAAGAGAGAGAGGGGTCCAGCAGGAGGGAGTTTTTATAGCCCAAATCTAATGGAGTCTCTGGGTCTGCAAGCTGCCTTGTTGGCACAAGGGGGTTAAGAGCTTGGCCTTGAGCAAGCAAGCAGCGGGCTGAGTGTTCAGCCTTGAGCAGGGGGGTGAAGTGCTCAGCCTTGAGAGGGGGTGGGGGCTTGGGCGTTTGGGCTTGAAGCAAATAGGTGATAAAGAACCAGACAGAGAGTTTGAGTGACCAGGTCATCCTGGAGCTAACTTTGTTTGGCATGCCCTGCAGACAGCTTACTCAGCCTGTCTTGCACCTAACAGAGGATCTAACCCAGTACCTCACAGGTGCAAGGCAAGTGCTTTACCACTGAGTTACATCCCCAGCCCCCTTAGCCCTTTTTAATATTCTATTTAGAGACAGGGTCTTACTGAGTTGCAAGTGCCTTGCTAAGTTGTTGATGCTGGCTTTGATCCTCCTACCTCAGCCTCCCAAGCACTGGGATTACAGGCCACCACATCTGGCTTATTTTCTTAAGACCCCCAAATCCTGTTTTGGTATGCTAGACCTTAATGTTGACTCCTTTCTCTTTATTTCCTGGAATAATAAACTCTTTTCTCCCAATGTATCATTTGGTGACTGTCTGAAAAGGGGAATTCACATAAAACAAAAATGCAATAAAAACAAAGGATTTAGAATATTTAAAAATCCCCTCATATAGCTGTAATGGAAAGCTCAGTCCTTGTCCCTAGTGCCAATTAATGCCAATTTAATAATGAGGACACAGTTTTGAGAAAAAGGAAAAAGAAGTTTTATTGCTTTGCTAGCAAAGGAGAAACACAGGGGACTCCTGTCCAAAACACTGTGACTTTCCCCATCTGGAGGGACAGAGGGGGTTTAAAGGAACCTTAAGGGTTACATATTAGGCAAGAGACCATCCTAAGATGTTTAAGTGTGAAATAGGTATTAACTGTGATTTTAAAAAAGGGAAAATCAAAAAGAACAAACAACAATAAAACAATTAAAAAAAGAAAAAGAAAAACCAGGCAAAATTATACTTTGGCTCCTTCAGCTTCAGAAACTTGTCATTGAGGGTGCTGCCATCTTGTGGCAATCCTATAAATTGCACACCCTTGCAGCCTAGAACCACTAATTCTATAGACACAACAATTACAAACTTGTGCTTTCAGACATTGGACAAGTCCACTAATAGATTGGATTACAGTTTGACCTTGAATGTTCTTTGTAATAATTAAGTCTTTGAGCTTTTGGAACTCAGAAGTAGAACCAGTAAGGGGCTATGTAAAAACCCTATGTTACTTGAGCCCTGGGAAAGAGGGCAGAGGTGGGGATAAGGCAGAAGTCAACACAAGAATCTCCTTTGCTTAGACACACCACACTACACACCCCTGACTGATAGTGGCCTAGGCCTGGAGTGGGATGAAAGAGGCAGGTTTATTTTTTTATTTTTGGTACTGGGGATTGAACTCAGGTGCCCTGAGCAACATCCTCAGCACTATTTTGAATTTTATTTAGAGATAGGGTCTCACTGAGTTGATTAGTGCCTCACTGTTGCTGAGACTGGCTCTCTACTTGTGATCCTCCTGCCTCAGCCTCCGGAGCCGCTGGGATTACAGGCGTGGGACACCACACCTGGCTGAGACAGGATTCTTTTTTCCTCCTTCAAGATGAATCAGCAGTTCAGAGGAGAATAAGTAGATTTTCAGGTACCTAACTACATGGCCATATGATTAAAATACAGAGTTTTTGTCATTTGACTAATGGAATTTATATTTCTTCAAATAGAATAATAATAATTACATTTCTGGGTATGTATTACAAGAAATTCTGAAATATGTACAAAATTGATGTGAAAAGATTTTTATGGTAACTCTATTTATATGAAAAAGAATATAATGAATTTCCCTTTCTACCTTCTTCCTTATTCTCATTTTCTTCTTCCTTTTCCTCTCTGATAATTACTGATCAATTGTTACCTTGAGGAAGCTAACTTTTAACATGTTCTTATTTTCAAAAGGATATGAGATGTCTACAGACTACCACTTATCAGCAAATTTAAAACTTAAATCAGAAGATTTGGTAATGCACTCAAACCCTGAACACTTGATGCAGGCTGATTCAGAGAGAGCAACTCATCGTCTTGGTCCAGGGATGGGCATGAGACCGAAGCTGGGCCAACCAATGTCTTCTTCCGGATTTATTGAACTGGAGCTGGAAGAGAGAGCTCTTTACCTTTTGGGGCAAGGAGGAAAGAGAATTGGTCTGCAGTAGGAAATGTGGCAGCCAGTCAGGAACAAGGGCCACTTGGCAATGGCTATTTCTAGTTTCCTTGGCTTTACAGGCCAGTGAGTTGCCCCAGTCCCTTCAAGTAAGTCTGGCATTTAATTCATCTGCCTACAGGTGGGTTTTTGACCCTGGCAGCTCAGAGTTCTGATAGATAAAAGGGGTAGGACAACCTGATTTCTCCTGTCAGTGTTATCATCGGACAGCAAGCTTTTGCATTACCCTTCATTAGTGATTTTCTTCTTTCTATTGGCTTTATCTTCTTTCACTGAGAAAAGTATGTGTAAGACTGTGATTTAATATGTTATGTTCTTCCTAAAAGTGTTTAAAGCTGAATGCTAGTTTTAAGGTTTGAATGGTTAGTCAGTGTCAGTTTGAAATATTCCTTGACCTCAGTACCAGTTCTTTTTTATTGTTCTCATCTGCTAGAACAAAGAGGGTTTTTCTTCCATCTCGAGGTCCAACCTCTCCCTCTCATTCTAGATCTCAGTTCCCTTTACCTGAATCACCAAGTTCTGGTAACTATGACCACACCTCCCCCTCATCTGAAAAATCTCTTCTCATCTTCATCATTAACTCTTACTTTCATGTGTGTTTGGTACAGGGGATTGGACCCAGGGCCTTGCATATGCTAGACATGTGCTCTACCACAAGCTATATCCCTAGTCCCACCTGACTCCTACTTTTTTTTTTTTTTAAACTCAACTCTGAGATTAACTTTTCTTAGGAGCTATGGCAGAAACCAATAGTGGTCCTCCAAATGTTGCTTCCTCTTCATTCTTTACTATCAGAACCCCCTTCCTGTTCAGGGGCAGCAACATGCCCAGTCAAAAACACTGTGCTTGAATCCCAAAACTCCTTACCTTGAGGTTGGTCCCAAGATACAGTTCTCTCCAACAAACAGCAAGCGGAAGTCACAGGATGTGAGTTCTGAAAAAGAAGCACTCAGCTCACAGCACTTTGCTGTTCACCCCTCCCCTCTCTTTTCTTCCTTTCTGGAATATGCTTATGCTAAGAATGGCAGGGAAGGCAGAAATAAGCTGCCCAGATCCTCAACAACTTTCGGAATAGCTATACCAGTCCTAGGCTGTCCACATCCTGACTTGTTATGTGGACATAACAAGTTGTTGAACTAAAAAGAAAATATCAATTGGACAAGTTCACTGAAGTCAGGTTCTGTTACATTCAGCCAAATGCATTTCTAATTGAGAGAAAGGGTTTGCACCCCCCCCCCCTTTTAGTGCTTGTAATGTAAGTTCACTATTTGTATGCATTTCAGTCTGCTCTACTGATTATCATGCCCCTGTGATCAGGGGTCTGATCACATCTTAATTTTGTCTCATGCAATAAATGACATCTACTAGTTGTTGAATCAATGCTTATTGAATAAAATGAATGAAATCCGAAAGGACACCCTAGAGGGTTCTCACATGGGATTGATTTTCCCTGCAGAGGGTATTTGGCAACATCTGATGACATTTTTGATTGTCTTAACTGGGAGATGGAAGTTACTAGATTTCTTAGACTGCACAGGGCAGCCCTTCACATCTGAGAATAGTCTGGTTCATTAATGCTGAACTGAGAAGTCCTGCTGCATGGCAGTGCACCATTAATATGTATGTTATGGATTGGAATTTCTCTACACAAACTGCTCTCAGAAAGTCAGGGAGAGGTGAGGAGATGTTCTACATATCCACACAATAGCATATTTCTTCACTCTATTGATATACAATTTGTGGGGCTGGGGATATAGCTCAGTTGGTAAAGTATTTTCCTTGCATGTACAAGGCCCTGGGTTCAATCCTCAGCACTGCAAAAACAAACAAAAAACAAAAAACAAAAACAAAAACAAACAAACAAACAAACAAACAAAACCAAAACAACAACAACAACAAAAACACACAAAACCCCCACAATTTGTAATGTGATAAGTACCATTTGATATTTAAAGTTGGAGGCTGGAGGATAAAAGGATTTTCCTTTCTTTCTTTCTTTCTTTTCTTTTGGTACTGGGGATTGAACTCGGGTACTTGACCACTGAGCCACATCCTCACTCCTATTTTGTGTTTTATTTAGAGACAGGGTCCCACTGAGTTGCTTAGTGCCTTGCTTTTGCTGAGGCTGATTTGAATTCACAGTCCTCCTGTCTCAGCCTCCTTAGCTGCTGGGATTACAGGCGTGCACCACTGTGCCCAGCTATCAATAGAAGGATTTTCTTTCTTATTCTAGAAAGAAAATCTTTCTCTAAGCTAGGATTATGCACTTATTTTTTTCTTCTGCTCAGGGCAGAGGATGAATGCTGAAGAATGCCTGGAAATGCTTCTGAGGTCATGACTGACCTGAGAACAGAGAATGTGAAGCAGTTAAGGAGGTCACAGAAGCTTGAATGTGAAGGAAAAGAATAACCCTTCCCAACGCTATCAGCAAAGTTAGAGGTGGCCCATTTTCCTTCCAGGTACGTTGAACTGGTCAGGATTCTCCAGAGAACTAGAATTGATAGGATACACACACACAAACACACACACACATACATGAAGGGGCTTGCTTTGTAAACTGGCTCACATGATTATGGATGCTGAGAAGTCTCATGATAAGTGATCTACAAGCTGGAGAACCAGGTCAGATAGTGGTAAAAATTCAGTTTATGGAAGTGAGAGAACCAGATGGGGGTTAGGGATAGGGGCTATGTAAATTCAGAATCCTGAGTGATACTGATTCAAGTGCTAAACTTTGCTGGAAACATCCTTGAAGCCACACCCAGAAATAACATTTTTTTTCTAGCTATGTGAGCATCTCTTAGCCTAGTCAAATTGACACACAAAATCGACCATCACATGCTGCTCTTGACCTGAAATTAGTCTCTAGGTCTTCATGTCCCTACCCATCATTGGGAGGAGGCAAAATCACTGCAAGTTTGACAACCAGAGAAGGGACTGGAAAGAGAGAGGAGACTGGGTCCTAGGGGTAGGTGCCACCTCCTACATAAACCAGGCACTCAACCCATCAGGCCAATGATATCTTCTCCTTCTTTCTCCTGGAGTTTAGTTCATGGGGTTTCTAGTCACTTTTCATTCTCACATTTTGTTTTCTTTCTGGGTTTCTGCACCCAACAATGGGTCTAAGTTCTCAAGGGAATGGTTATTTTAGCCAGCAGGGCTGTTTTGACCAAGACTTTTCCTGTCGTAAATCACCTTAGTGACAGGTAAGTGGTTGGGAAGAAAAGGTGGTATATGAAGAGCAGCATTGCTAATTCTGTAGTGCTCTGGGCATATGCAAACTTGCTGTGGACCCCATCCTCAAACGAGCATATCAGTGGCACTTCACAAGAGCATCATCAGGTTGACATGGATGTCCAGGGCTGGGGCAGGGAGGGTAGACTAGATGGATGTTGCTGTGGGGGATTGTGTGCAACTAGAAAATCCCCTAAGGTAGTTCAACAGTATGAAGTGACCCAGGCTAATATGTGGATATGTGTGAGGCATCCTTAGGGATTTCCTGAAATACAGAGGCTGTGGAACTTTTTAGGATGAGGAGAACTTGTGTTGGGCGTGTAGAAGATTCCCTGCTGAAGTTAAGTTTCTGACTCGGGAGAACATCTCGGAATCCCTTATCCCTCCCCCTCCTCTCCAAAGGGGGCCAAGCCAAAGAGCGACAAATTCAAAAGTTTTCCCAACCAATCCCCACAGGACACAGCGTTTGCTTGCTGTTCCTGAGTCACCCTGCCAATCAGCACCTGCCACGTCACCTACCAATTCTTCTTAAGCCAAAGCTTGCAAGCGGACGCTCTCTGCCCTCTTCCTCTCTGCCCTCTTCCTCTTTTTTCTCTCCTCTCTCTGCTCTCTGCCTCTCCTTTTCTTCTCCTTCGGGAAGCCCCCCAATAAAATCTCTTGGTTGAATCTCTTGGGTGAGTCACTCTCCTTTCAACTTGGATTAATATGACTCAGGTATGATGTGAATATCTCTAGCCTCTTACTTAGATGTCTCCATTTCTCTCCAGCCCAACTATTACTCTCAGTGTCTAGATAACCACCAACTCTTGCCTGAGAACCACCTCCCCATCGTGCTGCTCCACTGTGTCCCCCCAAGTCCACTCCTGTCATTGCTGCAGAGTGATTCTTCTAGACTGGGCCTCCTCAGGTCAGTTCCAGCTTAGAAGTCTGCAGTGCTCAAGATGACACCCAGCTCTCAGCTCAGGAGGACTGAACTGTCCTCTGCTTATTTGCTGCCTAATTGTTCATCTTTCCCTAGCTCATACTCTATGATCTAGTCACATGAACATCCTATACCTTGGAATATGACAAGATTCTGTTCTTATTTTGGAACTTTCTCCTCTTTCTACCCTTTCTCACATGACTGTGTGGCACATCATTATAAAATAAGAACAGATATGTTTTTTTGTTTTTTTTTTTCCTTTTTGGTAATGCTGAGGATTGAACCCAGGGCCTTGTGCATGCGAGGCAAGCCTTCTACCAACTGAGCTATATCCCCAGCCCCAGATAACTGGGAATTTTTCTATGAATTTCTTTGTTACTTAGGGATATCTCATCCACAAACCTCCTTTTTATAGTGTTTTTTTTTTTTTTTTTAGTTTGTAGTAGACATCCCACTTTCCCACTTTATGGTAGGAACTGTGTTTGAAATTGTGTCAGCTATTCCTTGCATAAGATGGATACTCAATAAATATGTGTTGAGTGAATCATTAAATAAAGAAAAGAGAAGCCAGGCTGGATTACAAAAATCTCCTCTTCTAAAACCCAATGAAATGAATATTAAATGAAAGACTAGCAAAGCATTCACCAGCAGCAAACAAACGAGGAATGAAGGCTAACCCAATGCAATCCACTCCACAAAGGTAGATAACACAAGAAGCAGAATGTTCTGGGCACAGTGTGGGACCCTATCTATCCCATCTAAGGAGTTTAAAGATATTAAACATAATTATTTACAAAGACTTTAGAGTTTTCACTAAACCTCATTTGGTAGCCTTATCATTTACCTCTCCCAACTGGGCATAGGAAAAAATGGCTGCTGAGGAAAATAGTAAAAATGTACAAGAGAGCAACTGGGCTTTTCTTTGACTAATGAAATTGAAGGAATTGGAGTCCACCCTGAAATCTGTGAGCCAGAGGGAGAGGGAAGGACTGCTATTCAGATGGGTCAATAGAGTGGAGCCTTTTTGCTTTTTGACCCAAATTTGAAAGTGAGCCTCTGCAGGCAGGCTTGTTGGCTTCAGAGGGACCTAGATTAGTAGTGGTTAAGACCAGCTAGTAAAGATTGAGAGGCATCTTTGTGTGGGGTGGGGGTATAGCAAAATGGTCCAGCTAGAGTGGGCTGCAGGAGTGGTGGCCCCAAACACAACTCTGATTAATCTAGAAGGACATAGGCTGGTCCCCTGCACCCACCTCAGATTCTGGAGCATGAGAGAACATGAATGGGACCTGAGGTTTGTAGCTACCTGTGAAGGGTAGCTCTATATTTTTGGACTGATGGCATAGGATCACTCCTTGTGGCATTTTTCACTAGAACCATGAAGAAGATGGCAGCTTCAGTGTCTCTCTTGCTCTGTTTACTCTTTTCAACAAGTTCAATAATGGTTTTGTTCTCTTAGACTCTGGATCCTCTGAGGATGTATGCCCCAGTTCACTAAAATACACCCCTCAGTAATTAAATTTCTAAATTGTCTTCCAATTCTTAGCACATTTTATTTCACATAGAGCAAGAAACTCAAGGAGTAAAGGTATTGATAACCTGAAAGACTGGTATGGTTGAAGAAAGAAAAGTAACTAAAGAGAATAGAATTTCAATATGTAAGAGTTCAGAGGGAGCAGTTACCAGACACGAGAGGGTCTAGGGAAGGGCCATAGGTATGAGTTGATGCACTTGAGTTTCCTCATAAACTTCAACTCATCAAGCAGGTATCAGCTTGAATATCTCTTCTGAAAAGAAGTTTCCCTTACTGGGTTTGCCCTCCCACTTCCCCCCCCCCTCACCCCCCCCCCATTACAACTTCTCATTACCCACTGTGTTTTGCCTTTATTGCTTTTTTACACCTATTATTAGATAATTTTTATATCTGATGTTTTGTATAACATCTTTCACCGCAAGCTAGATTGTGAACCCCACAAAGTTAGAGATAGGGTCTTTTATTCTCAGCCTCGGCGCAGTCCTTATTCGCACCTGTGTAAATGTGGTAAATGGTGGCTGTGTTGAATCCTGTTGGTGTGTTATGCATGATGCCCTGAAGCTCACGAATTTGACCCCAGTGAACATTCACACTTTGTGAGTACTTGTTATTTATATCTTCCCATGGTGTAAGACATAGTTTACTAACGTTTTATGTTTTACATTAAACTTTACAATGTTTTGTAAATAGTAAAATAATTAAAAATAAGAAAAGGATGAGTACATGCATCAGAGATAGAAAGGATAAAATGGGTTTTGGGGGGTCAGAGTTCATGATATACCAAGGTATGAATTAAGAGAGTTTCCAAAAGGTCAGGAGGGCAGAGGCAGGAAGAAAAATGGTGCCAGAGAATCAGCCATTTGGAAGGAGCAAATGAGAAAGAGGTGAAGCCCAGGGACTGGTGTGGGATGAAGAAGAGGTTGGGGAGGGCAGGAGTCCATGGACTCTATGATCCACAACCACCAGCCCAGCTTTCAGGGCAGGGACCCTGGTCCTGGGCAGCTCTACTGAGAGGAGATTGGATCTTTAAATACCCAGTAGATATAGCCCTATCCTCATCTGGATCAAGCCCCAGGTGACATGTGTGCTGCACAGCATGGTCTTATTGGCTAAGAAAGATCCCCGTGGGGCAAAAGTTAGATTCTGTCAACCTGCTCCTTGCCCTCCACGCCTCACTGTTATGAGCCCCCTCTGTGCTCCAGGTTCTTGGCCTCAAATCATTATGAGAATGGGACAAAGACCCCCTGCCATCACCTAATGATTCCCACCCTCCCCACTCTGAATTCCCCTGTGGATTCTTAAGCTATTGGCTCCATTGTCTGCTGACTGGTACTTACTCTCATATTTCCAGCCTCCTCATGGTTCTCTGCTTGGGCCATGAGTTCAGTCATAACAGGCTATCATCAAAGACATCCTCCCATAGTCCAAAGGGATGAGGGTAACTGATTTGCAGCACTCTGACCTTGAATGAACCTGTAGCCTGAGTCAATCAGCCAGAGAGTTTGGCCCTTGGGAGCAAGAAAGTCACTCATGCTTTTGAATGCAGCCTTTCTGCTCTGGCCCTGATCTTTTCCGGGACCTGAGAAACATGATGTCAAAGGGCTGCGTTGCTCATATAAGGAGATATTGAAGATTCAGAACCTAATTGGTGTTTGAGCTTCAGAAAGTGGCAGACGAAGTGTCCCCGAGCACCAGAAATGGTAAAAGGTCTCTCTATTGGCTCTCAGTAAGGAGGATGTAGGGGATGTGTCTGTGTATTCCCCTCCCATTGCTGTAGACCTTGTCAGTATCTTGATGCTCACAGAGTTATTTTGCAGCTGAGGCTGTGACTTTGATGACAGGGGAGGCAGGATGGCTTTAAGCAGATATCTCATTCTCCAGGGACTATGTTTTCTCTTTAGCACCCTGGTGGGTGCTCTAGGTAAGACTCACCTCTCTTTTCTGGGGCCAACAGCAAGTGAGTGAATACCTTGGTTAAGGAACAGGTCTCTGGAGTGATGCAACCAAAGCTTCAATGTAGATCATATGTGTATGACCAAAAAGGAACTACTGTGATTGTGAATATTGGTCAGCTGGTAAGAGTGACAGGTTTTTGTAGAGAAGTGATATTTGATTTTAGACTGAGCTCAGTCAGTTTCAGTACCCTCCAATGGCTTCCTTTCTCAGGGAGCGTTTGGTCTCAGTGGCTCCCAGTTACGTGAGAAGGATCAATGACTGGCCCCAGCTCAGACTCCAGGTTGCCCCTTGCACACTGCATCACCTGGCTGTTTTTCTGATGCTTTGTAAAGGACTGTTCCATCAGGATTTCTATGTTTTATGTATTTATGCTCCTTTGGGCTGTGTGCTTGTATGTGCATGAGTGTCGTAGGTGTGGGGTGTGTGTGAGAAGTGTGTGAAAGCTTTTGTGAGGGAGAAGCGGGGCCAGAAGTGGTTCAATTGGTTGGTATGTAAAGTAAACGGTGTTCACCCCTTAAGGGTTGTGTGTGTGTGTGTGTGTGTGTGTGTGTGTATGCGTGCATGCGTGCTACTGTATGAAGATAGGCAGAGGTCCTCATGTCAGCTCTAACCGGATTATAGATAACCTTGCACCTGCCTGCCTCGTTCTGGCTCCTCTCCTTCAATTCTTCAGTCTCCTCCGCTGCAGTATAGAGCACAATTTTTCATATCTCAGTGCAGGCTCTGTGAGGAGCTTTGCCTTTGGCTTCATCTCATTCCCACCATGTCTCCTTTGTAGAAGCACCTCAGCCGTAAGATGGGACTTCTTGTTTATAGAGATGAAGTGACAGAGCATGGATTACATAAATTTCTTCCATTCCCTGCCCCAGCACTTGTGAATTATTTCCTGATCTTGCCTGGGTCCTGGCTTTGTTGCTTCCCTCCCCTGGATTTTCTGTGTTCTGTGGGGTACATTTTCTCTCTCATGCGTTCCTCTGTTCCTTTCTGTGCCGAGTCTTTCATTCAGAATGACTGCAGGCTAGGGATTGGGCTGCAGAAATTCTAGGATTTATCCTGGAGGAATAGCTCTTTCAGATTTGGGTATGTGTCCAGGCTGAGACAATTTTTTTTTTGGCTTTTTGATAACAGGGATTGAACCCAGGGGTGCTTAACCACCGAGCCACTTTCCTAGCCCTTTTTATTTTTATTTCAAGAAAGGTCTCACTAAGTTTCTTAGGTCCTTTCTAAGTGGCTGAGACTTGCAATCCTCTCGTCTCAGCCTCCCAAGTCTCTGGGATTATAGGCCTACACCACCATGCCCAGCTGACTATTCATTTTTTTTTGCACATTAAAATATTTTATTGTCATATTACAATATAGACTATTAAAGACTAATAAAGACAATTTTGATTCAGTCACCACATGACTGAAACTCTATACTTGCCTGTGTTGGACATTTTATTGTTCTTGCTATTATGAAATAGTTGCTCTGAACTTCCTTGTATTTAAATGTAAGGATCATTAATGATTGTTTCCCATAACAATACGCTGTTATAGTTTGGATATGAAGTGTCCCCTAAAAGCTCCTGTGTTAATGAAGGAGTGTGGGAGGTAAAATGATCGGATTGTGAGAGCTGTAACCTAATCAGTCCATCCTAGTTTGAAAGGACTGACTGGGTGGTAACTGTAGGTGTGTGGGGCATGGCTGGAGGAGATGAGTGACTCAGGTGTGCCTCGGAAGGGTTGTTCTTCCCTTTGGCCCCTTTTGTGTCTTCCTCTCTCTCTGCTTCCTGGCTACCATGTCCTGTTCAGTTTCTGCACTATACCCTTCCTATCATGATGTTGTGCCTCACCTTGGCCCCAAAGCAATGGAGTTGGCTTGGCCATCTGTGGACTGAGACTGCTGAAACCATGAGCCCCAAATAAATGTTTCCTTCTCTAAGTTGTTCTTGTCAGGTATTTTGGTCACAGCCATTCAAAGCTGACTAAAACATATTCTTAAAGTAGAATCACTGTTTTGTAGAATGTAAATAATTTTAGGACTTTTGATTCATGGAGATTGTCTGTCAGACGTGTTTATTCCAAACTTTACTTCCACTAACATGGTATTAGTATTTTTCACAGATCCTCATCAATATTTTTTAAACCAAGTTTTAAAATTCAGTTTATTAGGCAAAAACTGGTGCAAATTAACTAATTATTAATTTGTGAATTACTTGCTAATGACACTTATCCTTTTTAGTTGAGATGTTTATCATTTTTGTCATGATTTATACTGGAGCTCTTCATTCTACTACTATTTCTTCTTTTTTAAAAATTTTTTATTCTAATTTGTTTTATAAGACAGCAAAATGCATTAAAATTCATATTATACATATAGAGCACAATTTTTCATATCTCTGGTTATATGAAAAGTAAATTCACATCATCTGTGTCTTCATACATGTACTTAGGGTAATAATGTCCATCTCATTCCACCATCTATTTTCTTGCCCCCTCCCTTCCTCTACCTCCCTTTGCCCATGCTCCCCCTCCCAACTTCACTATTAATCAGCCTTCTTATATCAGAGAAAATACTTGGCATTTGATTTTTTGGGATTGGCTAACTTCACTTAGCGTTATATTATCCAACTCCATCCATTTACCTGCAAATGCCATGATTTTATTCTCTTTTATTGCTGAGTAATAGTCCATTGTGTTTATATACTACATTTTATTTATCCATTTATATACTCAAGGGCATCTAGGTTCCACAGTTTAGCTATTGTGAATTGTGCTGCAATAAACATTGATGTGGCTGTGCCCTGTAGTATGCTGTTTTTATGTCTTTTGAGTATAGACTGAGAAGTGGGATAACTGGGTCAAATGGTGGTTCCATTCCCAATTTTCCAAGGAATCTCCACACTGCTTTCCATATTGACTGTATCACTTTGCAGTCCCACCAGCAACGTATGAGTGTGCCTTTCTCTCCACATCCTTGCCAGCACTTATTGTTTTTTGTATTCTTAATAGCTGCTATTCTGATTGGAGTGAGATGAAATGAGTGAGAGTAGTTTTGATTTGCATTTCTCTAATTGCCTGAGATGTTGACCATTTTTTCATATATTTGTTGATTGATTGAATATCCTCTTCTAAGAAGTGTCTGTTCAGGTCCTTGGCCCATTTATTGACTGGGTTATTTGATTTTTTTAGTGTTAATGTTTTTTAGTGCTTTATATATCCTAGAGATTAGTGCTCTATCTGATATGCTTGTGGTAAAGATTTGCTCCCATCCTGTAGACTCTATTCACCTCATTGATTGTTTCTTTTGCTAACAAGCTCTTTAGTTTGGAATCCATCCAATTTATTAATTCTTGATTTTAATTCTTGAGCTATTGGAGCCTTATTAAGGAAGTAGGGGCCTACTACTACTATTTCTAATATAATAACAGAAACAAGTCTCTGTTATGTAAGTGTATATAATTATAGTAGTATAATTGCATCCACTTATACCAACTCATTTAGTTGAGTGCACAACAATCCTTTGAGATAATAATGTGTTTTTTTTTTTGTAATCTCAAAAAACTGAGGCAAATTAAGTTAAATCACTTGCTCAAGGTGAAATGGGTATAAGTGGTATAGACAAGATTTTATTCTATCTTCTTTTCTTTTTTTGAGTCTGGATCTAAATATAGTCCATGTGTTTGTTAACTTTATGCCACTATGATAAAATAACTGAGATAATCAACTTAATGTGGGAAAATTTTATTTGGTTCACAGTTTTGGAAGTTTGAGTCCATGGTCACTGGTCCTTTTGCTTTTGGGACTGTGACAGAAGCACATGACATAAGGAAACTGTTGACCTCATAGTGGCTGGGAAGCAAACAGAGAGATAGGAAGGGTCCAGGGTCCCAGTAGTCCCTTCAAGGGCACATTCCCAATGAACCTAACTTCTTTCCTTTAGGATCCACCTCCTAAAGGTTTCCCTTCCCATGTACTGCAGGCTGATGACCAACCCTTTAGCATATAATTCTTTGGAGGGGGGACATATTAGATCCAAACTATAACATTCATAATTCCAATCCCTTGATAATCCAAGACTCTTTTTTCCTATAGTTTGCATACTTTTATTTCCTGGCATTTAAAACAAAATTGAAATCAGATCTATCGTTTATGTGTTCCTGTAGTATGGGTTTTGGTAATTACACCATTTTGGTGGCAATTAAAATGTTTCTTAGTCTCTTGTAGATTTTGCAAATTGGTAGCTGGTCTAGAGTCTTGATATACTCATGTAACACTCAACCATATTAAAATTCACAGCACATTCTATCCATGCAGAAGACCCCTTTGGAGCTCTTCCCAGTCATTTCATCCCTGCCATAATCTCATTTCACTCACAAAAGCATATTTCATATTTAAGTCTTACCATATTTAGTTTTTCCTGTTTCAGAAACCTTTTCAAATGGAATTATATACAATATAATCTTTTGAGACTAGCATCTTTCATTTAGATAATATTTTCAGACTCATCTATCTTATTAATGTATGTTGAGCACATCCTTACTCCTTTTTTTCCCCCTGCTAATTCTTGGTTTGATTTAATCTTTCTTTTTTTCTTTTGTAGTTTTAGATGGAC